GCTGGAAAGAGAAACATGGCCCATGCTTAACCTAGTGCATTTAAGACACATTTGTCTTTCTAAGAGATTAAAAAAGAAAATAAATCTGCAGCCTTTTGGGACTGACTGTCCCTTTTTGAGCTTGTACTGAATGTCTAAATCTAACTGTAGGGACCACAGCAGGCACTCAGCATCGTTGCTGCTGGAAGACATGGCATCTTCTCTGTAACATAAGAAAGAGCCACAGGGAGGAGGGAGCAGGGATAGGAGGAACTGGACTTTCTCGGTTCAGCTGATTCAAAGCCATTCCTGTGCAGCACCTAATACTGCTGCAGCCTCTTCTCACCTCAGTCCCCTCCGGAGCCTGCACGTCCTGGGGCTGCCGCCATGGGTCCGTGTGGTGCCTGCGCCCCACCACGTCTGCGGCTTCTGTTCTCCAACCCTGATGTAGCCAGGAGCAGGGACAGGAGACAAACAAAGCTTCGGGTCTACAAAGCAGCTCTTGATTTATGCACAGACGGTCCCCCCCCAAGCCTTGGTGTCACTTGGCTGTCAGCGGCAGCCAGAGGTATGCCATGTCAGCAACAGGTGACGGGAAGAAGTGCCAGTCGGGAGCGTGTGTGGAGGGGAGCTGCAGAGCAGATGGCAGCAGGGAAATAAATTTGGAGCTGCCATGGGAATAGTCCTGGAAACAGTCCAGCGTGTGGGTGGAGGCAGATGGGAAAAACCTGGTTTATATCTCTTCCCAGTTTTGCTATTTTTCAGATGCCTTTATTTTCAGCTCCATTATCTCTTGACCATTCTTTCCTGTCTGTTACTACACCCTCATCCTTATTTTTTTCCTCTCTTCTTATCCTTCCTTCTTTTCCCCCTTTTGTTTCTACTCACACTATATCTGAGTTCATGAAGGGTTACCCAGCCTGTGTCTGCCTCCTTATGAATCTATTCCCAGTTCCTCTATCCCTACCTCCACAGTGGATCCTAAAAGCTTCGGTTGGCACTGAAAGGCTCAGCACGCAGATCTGACTGAGCTGCGGGCTGGAGTTCAGCATGGAAGGAAGGAAAACACCCTGTGCGCCTTCACCATGTGCTGCCCATTTCATTTTCCACCATCCCCTCTGAGCTGGTTGCCTGAGGGCACAGGGCTTCCCTTATGGTTGCTATCTTCATCCCCTCTGTCACTGCAGTGATGTCCTTGCTGGCTTTGCTCTGGGTGCGGGTGCATCCCGGGTGAAGCAGGGTGTCTCTGTTTTGTGCTCACGTGAGTGTCTGCAGGACACTTCAGGGGTGCGGAGGCATGTCCTTGTGTGCAGAATGGGGAAAATGAGCCAGGTTTTGCATCTTCTGAAGCATTTTTGTGATACTTTAAGGAGAAACTGTATGCTTTTGAACTGAACTGGCTTTTTTCCGCTCTTCGAACAGACTAGGTGGAAACTCCCCATTTTAGTTCATGGATCGTGGGTTGCATACAGGGTCCCTGGCTGCGGGGGGAACAGGGGCCATCCCCTGGCAGCCCTCTCCGGACGGTCTGCAAACACGGCTCTGCAGTGCCTTTCACCAGTTCGGAGCCAGTGCTGGGAGCAGGAAACACACAGGATACCGATACAGGTATCAGACCTGGATCCCAAACCTGCCTGGCGTTCCTGCGACAGTGGGGCTGCTGCCTCCTCCATCCCACTGACGGGCCAGCCGCAAGTGCAAAGGTGGGCTTTTTCTTGTCTCCTCTTTCCTCTTAAGCCCAACTCCTTTACTGGTTGGCTTCTTGCAAACTCTGTCTTTTTATATATATATTTATACATATATAAAGTTTTAAAAAACATTGTTTTGTTTTGTTTCTGCCTCAGAAGAGCCAAGGGAAGTTTAACTGGTGTCTGCAATAGGCTGGGCAGAAGGGGTGCTCTCTGCTGTGGGAGAACACACCCTGCATGCTACCTAAGATAGACTTCAAATAAAAAATCCCTGAATCAGCTGTGCTGTTACTGGAAAAGAAGCATTTGTGCCAGTGGTGGGTGGGAGCAATATGGGGCTCTCGTTTTATGGGGAGCTTGGTGAATGGCTAGTGTGCTTTTCTGTGCAGCTTTACTGTGCGTTGCGAAGCAGTGTGTGTGGAAGCAGAAGGTACAGCGTTACCCTAAGAGGTTGACAGGTGCTCCCCTCCTGCTCGTATTTACTGCTGCCTGCTTCTTTGATGATGGTGACTAATAGTTCATCAATGCCTGGGTTATACCGGCTCTATTTAGGACTTTCTGCCCGTTGAGTGACAGCAGGATGTGTGAGCAAACTGAGACGCCCAGACCTTTTCTGGCAGGATTGTTAGGGCAAGAAAATACTCTGGAAACCACAATGTGAATCATTTGTCTATCCGAGTGGATGACACTATGCCCCAGCCATGCCGCTTTGCAGGCAGACCTGTGCGGTGGGCTCAGTGTGTCCAGACCAGCTCCCTGGAGTTCTCAAAACCTACAGGGCAGGTTTAATGTTTAAAAACCTGAAACTCCAAGCCTGCATGCCCTGCTGTGTGTTCACTGACATGTTTGTAGCACTCTTTCATCTGGGACCTGCGTGGTGCCTGGTAGCAGGGAAGGGCTCAGACAGGGCTGGCACACCTCCTTTCTGCAGCACCCTCTCTTCCCTGGAGGTTTCTGCTCCCTGCCCTGTTTCATGGGGCAACGATGTCCCTCCTTGGCACTTGTGCTATACCTTGCACCGCCGATGTGGTTAATCACCTGGGCTTATGCGGACAAAGAGGGGCTTGGGGAGATGGGAATTGTCCAAGGTCATACGGCTAAAGCCAGCCAGGAAACCAAAAGCAGCCCTGTCCTCTCAGCAAGGCTTGTTCCCCAGCCTGTCACTGCTGCACTGGCCCAGGAGGCCACAAATTCAAACAAAATGGCCTTTTTATTACAGACTGCTCTGGGGAATCACCAGAGGCTTTGCAGAGCGAGCTGTGCCATGAAATGCTTCTCCAGGGACTTTCATGGTGAAGCCTAATGAGCATCAGCATGGATGCTGGGTCATCCTCCTGGTTTTTGGCCAAGCTTTTTCCCCCTCCCACCTCCTCCAGCCCGTGCCTGTTGTCATGCTGCAAACACACATGCATTTGTGTGTGTGAAACATTTTCATGGCCGAAGTGTCCGTCCCTACTGTCCGCATGCCTCTGCAATGCTGTCAAACCGCTGCTGAATTGCAGCCGCCTCTGGGGTGGGACATGGCAGCTGCTGACATTGCCCAGCAATGCTATTCCGCCTTTTAGGACGGGGAGCAAAGGTTACCGTTTCTCATTGAAATACGAGGGTATTCTGGGGGAAGTAGGAAATGACCGCCGAGCGGGACCGTGCCAGCGCTTTGTGTGGGGAAGTAGAAAGGAATGAGAATGGTTAATGGTGCAAACTCTACGTGCATTGCCAAAAATGAACTCATGTCTGTAAATATTACACTGCATGCAGCAAGATTAGCACAGGAAAATACCAGTTGTTAGGGTTCCTGTTACCATCTGAATTATGCAAACAATTTGCTTGAGTTTATAGATGAGCTGGGGCAGAATAACATTAGTTTTTTCCTAGCCAAAGTGTTTCAGTGTGCTAGTATTTTAGCGTGTTTCCCAGCCTCAATCTGCTATGGAAGTAGATCCATGCTGTGCTCTTTTGGGACAGCATGCTGTCAAGTGTGGCTTTTTCCAGGCCACATTGCAAAATCGGAGATGTCAGGATGCTGGTGAGATGCTGACCTTGCACGTGCGCTCCCTAGGAGCCCTCAGATGGGTGCAAAGGCCCAGGGAGTCGCTGGGGCTGGGGCTGGAGGCTGTGTGCGCCCTGCCATGTGTGTGCGGTCAAGGAGCTCTTGGACGTCTGCAAGTGGGAAGCGGAGATGTTCCTCATTCCTGGCTGTAGCAGGGCCACTCGGGCTGAAGATGCCGATTGCTGTTGGGAGGCCAGACACCACCACGATGGGCTCTGTGGAAGGAATGATAAACATTGGCTCTTCCCAGTGGCTGTCAGGGAGGTTAACTGACTTTCCCACGGCCATGCGGTGAGTCAGTGTCGAGGCGGGATTAGCAGCTGGGCGTCCCTGGCCCCCGGCCCCAAGCGTGCGCCACTGCCGCCGCCGCCAATTGCAGAACCTGGAGCGAGCGTGCGGCCGTGGAGCTGCCGCAGCCTGCGTGTCCCCGTGGGAGCGAGCCCTGAACCAGAGCTCCCTCCGCTCCCTGTCGTGACTCGGGTGGAAATAGGTTGGTTGGAGCCGCGGAGCTGAGGTCTTCCAGGGAGCTTCGTGGACGCCTGAGTAATGAGGACAGAGACACCGGCCAGTGCTCTCTCTAAGCCACGTGCTGGGGAACGAGCCCAGCCATGGTGTTAGGTGCTAGAGAAGCCCTGTAATTATGAAACCTGGCTTTCTAAGTGCTGCTCTTCACGGACTTGCTCACTTTGGACGGCTAATGCTTTGAGCTTCCTTAGGGTAAAAGCTGGAGGAGGACCAGGTACGGTAGTTTTACTGGCAATAAAACTTCAGCTTGACCCTCATGTTGAAAGCAAGTCTAACCCACCCATGAAAGTATCTTCTGGTACTGCTGTGGGCTCTCAGCTGGGTCCCCGGGGGTACAACCCACATCCTTTCTGGGCCCTACAGCCAGGGGACAGCCCCTTGCTGGTTCCTGGGACTGCAGCCCCTCCAGCCCTCTTCCCTTCATCAACGGCAGCGTAGAATTAACGTCGGGTCTGTAATTTAGCTCAGGACTGTTATGAGACACAATCCAGCTCTAAAGCCAAGGCCAAATAGTACTAGCATGGGGTCAAGTTCCTGAGGCACACTCTGCCTTTGGGACTAATTTGGGTGCTGAGTAGCCGGGCAGGTATTTACATGTTGCCTACAGAGACCTAGAGGTCTCTGGATCCTATTCTTCTCCCTTGGATCACCTAAAATGGTAAGAATTTTCAAGGGGGATTAAGGTTGTGATCTCTGGGGAGGGGAGTGGACATCTGGTAGGAGTCCCGTCCATATTAATAGCCTCCGTTTAAATGTATGTTATCAAAAGGGGCAGCTCCTAATCGGCCAAGAGACTGAACTCTGTTACCTAAGGGGCTGCCGGTGACTTTGGGCTGCTAATCATGGCTTTCCACAGGCACACAGGTAAAGCAGACGTGCTGCCGGGTGTTGTGGGAGAAGCCCTGTGTGTGCAGTGCCTGGAAAACGGGGAGGCCGGTTTTGCTAACAGGCTCCTGCACCAGCAAAATAACTCTTTTGAATGCGATCTTAAGCCTCGGCAATCTGCAGCTATAGCTAACGACGGCAAACGGGCTTCTAACCAGTGTGGGGGACTGGCGCTGGGAGCGCGGCGGTGGTGGTGGCCTCGTCTATTTTGTAAAATGCATTGGATGGTAAGTGCTTTTCTATCCGCTGCTGTGGGAAGGCTGGGGCTCAGCTGTTATTTGAGGAAGACTAGGTGAAAACGGGGGATGATGCTCCTCCTCGCAGCAAGCTTGCTATGGCAGTTCCTGTAGTCAGCAGGGTAAACCCATCGCAGAGGGGAGCGTGCAGGAGCCCAGCGTGTAAACCCAGATGGTTTGCTCTGCTCTGGTGGGAGGTTTGTGGTTATACCCTCTTCTCTGCGTTTATCGTGTAGATCAAACGGGCTGACCTTCCCCAGTAATAGGAAAACGTTAACTTTTCCTTCCCATTAACACTGACAGGGATCTTGAGAGTGTGTTTTGCATGTCCCCCGTGGCATGCAGATGTGTTGTGTCTTCCCATCCATAACTAATCTCCTCTAGCCCTCCAATTACAGACAATTGAAAGCTCTTCGGGATTATTAAAAGCTTATCCAATTCTTAGAAGCTAACCACGTTTGTGTGTGTCCAGCATGTATTTACAGCCCTGGATCATAATGTGCAGTGGCAGGACCATTGCATCTCTTGATGAGACATAGCTCAAGGGGTGGGCATGCCTGGGGAGCGGGTGTCAACTTTGGGGTGCGGCTCCCGCAGGCTCAAAGCGAGCTGCCGCACACCAGGAGCCTGGGGACAGCGGTGCTTGTGAGACTCTGTTGGGAACATAGAGCCTCTTCAGAACTGGGGAGGAAAGTCGCAGCGTGCTGTTCAACTCCACGCTCAGCCTCCCAGGACAAGGCACGAGCATGAGGCTTCTTGCATGGCATGTAACTGCTTAGGATTTGCTTGCGTGACACAGATACACATTATGCAATGTACCTTTCTGAGTAAAATCTGGCTTCTGTGGTATCATCTTTAAACATCTCCAAGGTGTTTAAAAAGAGCAATCTATTCAATTAAAATGCAAGAAGACATTTGTTTTTTAACTTCAACCCGTGAGACTGATGCTGTAGCATCCTTTCATTATACTCCCAGCTATTCCTTTCTTTTCTTTCTCATCTTCCTCAGGGAGGTGTTCTCTGGGCAAGGACCCACGGATTTGATGCTGTGCTGTAATATAAAATGCTGAAGCGTCTTCTGAGCAGATGCTGTGGTTGGAGTGATGCCACCAACAAGTTATAGTGCAGCATCCATTCCTGCATCCCATAGGGAGCCCCGCTCTCCGGGAAAGCTGCAGTGGGGTACCGTAGTGCCCGCCCCGGGGAGGTGAATCCTCTGCAGTGGGAGAAAGCCTTGCATCTGGCTTTTGGGGGGCCCGGGCATAAGAAGGGCACCCAGCTACTGAGGTGGGGGCAGATCTGTGCATAGCTGGCAACGTAATTGAGGAGTCTCAAAGGTCAAAGCTTAAGGCAGCCACAGAGCAAGTTAGCTGCTGAACAGGACTTTTTTGCTTTAGCTGATCTGGTTTGTTTTGAAAGGTTTGAACTTCACTGCTTAAACTCTGCCTAAGTGCTCAGACTTACTCTAGGCAGTGGTGCTTTGCACACTTGGGAGCCTTATTAGCCTTAGCTGAGCTCTGTATTAAGTGCAAAAGCAAGCCCTGGGGCAAGCGTTTGCAGGGCTGGAGCGGTGTGTTTTTTAATAGCACGTCCCTGCTTCCCTGGGGAACTGTGAAGATTTAGTAATGATTGGGATGTGCTCAGACATGGTGGCAATAGGGCCGTAGGGAATGTTTTTGGCAACTGCCTGAGGAACTTGGAGCCGTTCTTGTTCTAAATAAAGAAGCTTCCCTTTTATCAACAGACTAATTTTTGAATTAGAGAGTATGAGACTCGCACGTGCCCCAGCCTGGCAGTGGGAGAGCACAGCTCTCTACTCCTTACTGCCAGCTCTCCCAGCAAAAGTGACCCGCAAGTGATTTCTTTCTTTCCTTGCTGTCCAGAGCAGCATGCCAGTGACCTTGAGGTGCAGTCCCGAGTGTCGCTTCGCATTTCAGATTAACGGGACCCTTCTTTTAAGGGTATTCCCTGGTATTTATAGCAAACCACGTGACATTGCATAGAGAAATGCTGAGAATAGTAACTCAGGTGACAGACCAGGGGATGCCAGGTTCGGAGCTGGAACAGGCAGGTGTAGCCAGTGCCTGGCAGTACGGGGGCTGTGCGTGCTCAGTCTGCTGAGAAAAATAAAACCGATGGAGAGTCAAAAAGCAATTGCTCTTTTCCTTCCATATTGCCACAGAGTATGCAGCTGTGCGTAGGGCAGAGGGTTAACATCTTCAGCCTCATCTTCTTTCCGAAGTGGCAGAATAGTCTGTAAGGTTTAAGTACAGTTTCCCTGGTTGTTTTTAGAGACCACACTTCAAGCTCTTCCTTGGTGGTTTATCACATTTAAACACATCCCCCAGGGACATTAACACGTATCCTGTGCTAAGTGCTTCGCTTATCAGCTATGCTTCAGCTCCCTTTGCAGAGTGCTTCGGTTCCATTTGCTGTGCAAACCACTGTGATGCTGCCTTGGGGTCGCCTGAACTGGGAGGAACCAGCCCAGGGGCCATGGGAGACAGGAACGGACAGGAGAGCCACGGGGTTGTGTCAATGCGATAGCTTTTGGGGGGTGGCATTTCTTAGGTGTGTACCCTCCTTTCCATCCTACAGCTTGCCATGCTGCAGGGTGCAGACATAGCCCTGATTGTGACCACAGCCCTGTGGCTGCTCCACAGCATGGTGTCAGCATGGCTTGAGGTGCGTGGAAGCTGGTAGAGCCCAAACATTTGAGATCTTTATTTGAAAGATGGAAGGCATGGTTGTCCAAGGGCTGAGGGGCTGCTTTGGAAAAGCAGCAGATGCTCTCTGGGGACAAGTGGTTAACTGGCACCTCTGTGGTCAGGTAAATGTTAGGGTTGAATTCCAGTGGGTCTTTGTGCCAAACTTCTCTGATACTCGAGAAGGCCACTGGTCTGGCCAGCTGCCCTCGAGCTGTAGCCAAATCCATCAGGGAGCTACATTTAGACAGCACCCTGCCAGGCTTGGTGGGAGAGGGACACCTTGCTTGAAGGGGAGTTAGTTTCTGGAAGTACTGCTGGATTTTTCTTGAGCTCTTATTTTTGTTGAGGGTCCTCTAGGCTATTTAAGGATGGGCATGTACTGCACTTACCCCTCTCCCCGGCAGCCTGCGCTCTCTCTTCTCACCTGCTTCTCTCCAGCAGAACATCCTCTGCGCATGGACGTCGGAATAGTTGCAGGCTATCCATGCTTTCCCCTTCTGTGGCTCCAGAGTCAAGCAGAAATGGGGTTTGGATCAGGGCATGTCCTCAGGGTACGTGGTTCTCCCGGGGTTAAACAGGAGACACTTGACCAGGCTGTCAGCCCAGAGATGCTGCAGTCTGTTGTAAGCATACAGCCAAAGAAACTGTGTTCAAATAACTTCCGTGCTACAACGCCTGTGTGTCCTGCTGCCCTTTTAAGCACACCGCTGTGAAATGAAGCACAAAGGTACAGCACCTACGGTTTTAGGGGTTAGTTTGATGAGTGCTTACCCTGAGCACCGAGTTTTGCACTGCTGTGGCATGGTTATGCCGCTGGTGTGATCCCTACCGTGTGCTCAACAGCTGCTGCACAGCTTGCCCAGGGAAGCTATGCGGCGTGCACGAAAATAAAGGCCAGAAGGAAGAGCGAGGAGGATTCACGGTTCCAGTGTGTCCTTAGTTTCATGACTTGCCTATTTTCCAGACAGCAAAGACAGGCCAGGGTTAACACACCTGGAAGCTCTGGAAAGTTAAGCTGTGGGGACGTGGTGCAGCTGGAGGGTGAACAGGTTATTAAGGAGATAAACATCTCCAAACCCATGATCTGCTGCCAACCAGGCTCTAGAAGACACATTCATTTTTTTTCAGAGCACAACAAACATCTGTTCTGTCTACCTTCTGTGCACGGGGACGGGACAGCTTAGGGGAGCAGCAGTAGGATACTAAATGCTTTTTCCCCAGGGCAGCAGAGCTCTTAAGTCTCCATGGACATTTGCTCCACTCTGGGAAGATGATCTGGTGGTCCCAGCACAGCTGCTACCGGCTGCTTTCGGAGCTTTTGTGCACCAGCCCCTGGGTGGGCTGCTCCCGTGGGAGGGTGGTAGGAGATGGTCTGGCTGATGTGGGCTCTCAGCACGGCACGGGTGAGCAGAGACCACGAGCAGCCAGCACGTTTGCTGGGACAATGTGGTCAGTGCATCTGCGTTGCAGGCAAGGGGGTAGAGGTGCCTTTCCCAGGTCTAGATCAGGGACGATACTGCTGAGGGCAGAAAACTCCTGGGAAAGCTGGAAGCAAATTCATGCCTATGTATGAGAGGGGCTTTTTGGTCCATGAGATGGCAGAAGCTGGCATGTCTGCATGTACCCCCAGCTCCTGGGGCTGCCAGGCCCAGCGTTGATTGTCTGTGGAGCTCCAAAGCTGCTGTGATGAATGTCTCTCACGTTAGCGCATGATGCGTTACATGGGAACACAGGATTATGTTACTCCCTGAGCCATATGTTCACGATTACGTGTTCTGTTTGAAAGCAACCCTAAACCTAAGATCAGGAATGTTTCAATACCATTTGCCCTGGACTCTGTGCAATTGCATTTCTTCTAAATTAAACCCATTTGCTTGATAAAGCTCTGCAGAGTTGGCTGTGGCTCACATAGTTTCCACATTTCCCAGCTGTTTATTTGTTTCATTTACTTAAACCAGTACAAACACAACCCTTGGTGTAGTTGTCAGCAGGACATGGCTGTCTCCTGACCTTGGCAAGGCGCAATTCCTGCCGGCTCGGCCTCCAGCCTGCTTCTGTACATTTTAGGGGAAGGGTGTGAACCCGGTCCCCACCTCTGCTGCAGCCTCCCTGTGCGATGCTCCTCTCCAGGACTATCTGTCCTGCTTTCTGGAAGAGAAATGCTCCAACTTGTTCTGACCTGACGTTATTGAAAGGGTGACAAAGAGGAGACAGTGAGATGACTCTTGGATTTTAAAATCTGCAAAGTAACAGCGTGAGTCCTGTCTTCTTGCCCCAGCATCTTCTGCTGCCCATCCAGCAGCTTCCTGAACCCAGGAATGAGGCAGAAGAGCTCTGAAATAACACCAAAGCCTTCGTTTGCAGGCAGGCACCTCCCTGGGCTTTGCAGCTGGCTGCGTCAGGGCTGCTCGTGGTGGGCTGCCAACAGCACGTTACTCTCAAAGAAAAAAATAATTGGGTCGGCAAAGGAGATGGCAAAGGCAGCAGCCACCCTCACCTCTCGCTGTGGTGCCTGGGCTTGCCGGGCAGGGCTGTGCCCTGCTCAGGACCTGTGGGGTTTGATGTGCGCCCGGCTGGCGAGGTGCACTTGCACTGGTGCTTCCGCTGCAAAGCCCCGCTCCTCGCAAAGGCGGCAGCACTGATCCCTCGGCCCCGAGTGGCTCCCGTGCCAGCGTGGGGATTTCTCGTGCTGGCAGGTTGGGCCACGCAGTTGATGGTAAACCTAGAATTACTGGGGTGGGCAATTGTCCAAGAAAAAGATGTGTAAACAGGTCCTCGTGCCCTAACGACACGGCAGTCCTGACTGTGCAGCATCCTGCAGCCGAGGGCGAGCCCAGCGGGGTCCCGCTGATCCTGCCTTGCCGTGAGGGCACAGCTGGGAACGATATACCCTCCCTACACCCCCAAAACCCCAAGCCCTGTTTCAGTGTATAAAGGTGCCGTGCTGGGGCTTGGAGCAGCATGGCTGGAAGCAGTGGCCGTTGTGCCGCCGAGCTCCATCAGGAGCAGGCAGCAAAGAAGCCCCTCAACTTCAGGGCTTGGTGGGCTGCTCCGAGGTGAGGCTATGCCATGGAGGTGCCACTTCACAGCAGGGAGCAGAAGCAACAGCAATTTATATTGTCTGACCACGTCCTTCTCCCTTTCTTGTTCTGTGCTGGCGCTGCAGCTCTATCAGGAAAAGAATAATTAAATTTCCTCTTGGCAGCCCCCGTTGCCAGACCGCTGCTGCGTCCGGTTGCTGATGGTGCAGAAAGTTCAAGGCTGCGTCCCGGGTTGTTGGCTGTGTCAGGGGAAAGGGGGCCGTGAGCAGCAGGGGCAGAGATGGAGCTGTGTTTTGGGGACTGCATGGGCTTGTGTGACCCTGCCGGAGCTTTTGCAGCCCCTCGCAGGAGCGTTGCTGGCTGAGGAAGGGCGTAGGGAAATGGAGGGAGCCGTCAGCAGAAGCGGTCTGGGAGGCCGAGACCGGGCGGGTGTCTGGGGAGAAAGCGTGAGCGTGCACCGCCAGCCAAAGCGGAAAATCCTCTGGTCAAGAGCCCCCACGCCCGCTGATGTGCTGGCTCGCTGGCCATGGTGGAACATCGTACCTTGGCAGAGCCCTGCTGGCATGAACTGAAGAAGTATCTTTACATGTAGGGAGATCTTTTCTTGTTTTTTCCTGATGACTTTATATGTGAAAGCCCGGTGAAAAGAGGCAGCTGGAAGCTGCACAACTATCCGGCCCAAAAGGCCTCAGAGGGCTGCAGCTGGCTGCAGGCTTAGGCTGGAAACATGGAAACTATTCTGCTCCGCTCATGGTTGGCGGTGATTTCTGCACAAATCATGCGACGCCTCAGCCCGGACCTTGCTGAGGCCTGCAGTGCGCCCGGCCGTAATGAACCAAGTGGCTCTCAGTGAGTGATTGGGTATCGTTATCCTCGCTTGATGTGAAGTATGCAAGTAAAACAGTCTAGAACCTTCCTCTTGAAGGTGTGGTAGGGAAA